GATGAAGACTGGTCATTTGGGTGGTATTGTTGATGAGGACTGATCATTTGGGTGGTATTGTTGATGAGGACTGATCATGGGGTTGATGTCTGAACAGTGGTTAGATTTGTTGGTTTTACTTCATTCTGAATCCCAAAGGAAAACTCCCATAGGATCTTCTGACATTTTAATTTTTGTCATCCTGACTGATCCTTTTTATTTTTTAATATAAATATTTCCCCCTCATCACACATTAATGAAAATAACATGTTGATCTGAAAAAATGTGTTCTTCACTGGTTCCTGTTGAGGGACAGGAGGTGGCAGCATCGTTCTGTCTCGACCTTAGTGGAACCTAAACAATGTTCCAGTTCTAATCAGTCTCACTTGTTTAATAGACTCTTAGCAGCTCAGAAGACTTTATTCCTGACTTTATCACGTATCACTTGAGTGTAACCCATCATGTGATTTAAAACTAGTTGTGGGTCGGTGTGAACTTCTCAGAGTGAAACAAAGAAGATTAATTTTATGTCTCAGCAGCCTGTTTTTGGCTTGTTTGTGGTCCGTTTGTTAAAAGCTTCTAGGAGCACAGGAAACCCAAACTGCAGCTCCCCGAGGAGCTGATCCCACCCATACTGTCAGTACCAGGACCATCTGTGGGTCTGTAGCACGTGGTGGGTGGAGAAAAGGTTTAAACTGCAGGAGAGTCTCTGGCAGAGCTTTGAGAACAGCTCAAAAGTTTCTATTAATGTTCTTCAAGTGAACATTCAAGTGTTCTCCTGGGGAATGTTTTGATGATGAGAATCAATGAAGTTTAAAAATATAAGAGTTTTCAGGAAAGTTGAAGTTCACAGTGATCTGTAAGAGTCCAGAAACGCCTAGTCCATGAGAAGACCGCTTGAAGTCCTCTTGGCCTTTCAGGAACATTTTCTTAAAGTTCAGAGGAAGTTCAGGAGTCAGACAGAAACCTCTGAAGGTCATCAAACAGTCTTTTAGAAAATGTTCCGCATACATACTTGAATTTATGGTGTTCTTTAGGAAACAAATTCAAAAGATCCTGAAGATACAGAGGCTTCAGTGGTTCTCCAGAATCTACTGAGTGATAACTGAGATGAGAAACTCGAGTACCAGAAGAAGTTCAAGTGTTTATTTATCATATGCAGGTTAATAGTACAAAGAAATGTTCAGGATGAGACGAACCGATCCGACTCGCAAAAAAAATACAACAACAAAAAAAACCCAAGAGAAAATAGTTTGAGGAGTTTTCACAAGTTAGAAAATTTCATTCATCAATTTTTATTACAAACATTCCAAGTGTCTGTAAGGATGGGTTCTGGTTCTAGTTCTAGTTCTGGTGAAGAATCTTTCTGCCCGTTTGGACGATGAAAGACTTTCTGAAACGATTCCAGGATTTTCCGAGGAGTTTTCAGGTGGACGTGGAAACAAGAATCAAGTTCAGACTGAATCTGAATCGTCTATTAAAAACAAAAAACAGTCAGTGTGGGGCGGGGCTACAATTAGAAAGGGTTGGATGGGGGCGTGGTCATTCAGAGGGCGTGGCTAAAAGTTGCAGACCAGATGCTCTGACAGCATGAGACCCAAACGGTTCAGAACCAGAATGTGATGTTTTTTTCTGATGGAATTTCATGCAGCAAAGCTTCATTGGTTCTGAGACAAACACAGATGCATTGTGGGTAAGCGCTTCATGTTTCAACTCTGATTATACCTGAGATAAATGTTGCGTGAAGCGTCTGATTAAGATCCAGTTTCACAGAGCTAACGGGTTCTGAGCAGATTTAATCTTTGTGTGTCTGAGACAAAACTGAGACCAGATCTGATCAGGTTCTACTTGAGACCTGAGTCAATTATTGATGAGCCACTCCAACTCAAACACCGGACCCAGAACCACGAACCGGGCCAGTTCTCTGCAGCTCCTCATCACAAGTTAACAAAGGATTTTTACAGGTGACAGCGAATGCATCACACATGATGATAATCTGCAGTCACTCATCAAAGTTCTGACAGGTTAGAAGTACGATGAGCCGGATTATAACCTGAAATTATAGATTTACTTTATAAAACGTCAGGATATCAATGTTGTGATTAAGACTGAAGGAAATATTCATGCTGTTTGTTGTTAAACAGGAATCATCTACTCGTGTGTGTGTGTGTGTTTGTGTTTATACAGCATGGGAGGAGTACTTCCTGTTGGCCCGTGGCTCGACCCAACCAGTCAGATTATTGTTTTGTGTGAACAGAATCTCTTTGCAGCTCCTTCTGAACTCCAAATTAGATTTAATCCCACATCAATAATCAATAATTACTCAGACGTTTCTCCTGACAATATGGACTGGCGCCAGTCCGACTGCTGACTGCCGATAAGAACTCACCAGAACCCTTGACGAGTACAAGCTCAACGACTCAGAACCAGAGTCCAATCTCACTTCAGTTTATGAACCCAGTTCTACCAGCTTGAACTGGGTTCTGGTTCCAGATCAGATCAGGGACTTTTTCATTTAGTCATTGAACAGATGAGTTTATTCAAACTGAGGCCCAACAGAGAATCTTTTGTGAACATTAAAACCAGTTTAGACGACAGAGTCCAGTAGAACCGGTCCAGAAGTCTTGGTTCAGTGGATCAGGGTGATGGAGATGTTCCATGAGGATAGAGAGGGGACACCTTGATCCCATAGCTCGTTCCACCATCCTTGAACCACAGATGATAACAGTTGTGGACTTCAGAACCACTCAAGGTACCTGAGGGAAACCCAGCGGTCCAGAAGGATCCTGTATGAGTGCTGCAGACCCACAGATCTCTCTTTAAGCAGGGCTATGGACCTGGATCTGGTCAGGTGGAGTGGCCAGTGGAGCTTTGTGAGAACTGAAGGAACCAGAGTCAGATGATCCAGCCTGAACAAAGTGTCAGATATGTTGGACCGGGCCTTTAAGTATTCTCTCTCTCTCTTCCTCTGTAGGACCAAATCTTGCTCAACCCTAGTTTGTCCATATACGCCAACGTCTCCTCCCTGAAGAAAACCCCTCAGCCTCAGATCTTGATTTCCTGCCCGCATCCCACAAACCCCGCCCCATCAGCACCAAGCCACACCCCATCATTGTCAAGCTCCTCCTGCAGTATGATAAGTCCCGCCTCCCCTGTCAGCCCACAAGACGGATGGCAGGTAAGAGTAACTCCACAAGAAACGTTTTAGGTTAAGATTTTCAGCACCTTGAAGCTGGTTTAGTTCTTACCAGTTCTGTTGCCATGGTAACCTGAAACCAAACAAGACCCGGAGGTGGATCCTTTTAAAACCCAAACAGTTTTTTTACTACCTTATTTCTGTCAGTTTCAAGATTGTAGTTGGTCCTTTTTTTTAAACACGATCCAGAGTCAGAAATTCTAGTTTCAGTTACAGAACCAGAACCACGATTCTTCCTCGTTAGGTTTAGTTATGACTCTTTGATCAGTTTGATCCAGTTCTAAAATAAAAACGCACAAGGAAAGGATCACTTAAAGGAAAAATTTAAAAAGTTTCATTTTTGATTGCAGAAGATTTTTGGCTCCTTTTATGTGTTTCTGTGAGTTGCTTTGAACACTCCGTGCTGCGTTCATGTTCTGCTGGGAGCATTAAAGTTTGATTGCATGGAAACTGATCCGGTTCTGATCGACAGAGATCAGGTGTTTCTGAGGCAATGCTTTGCTTAAAGGCACTTCAACACATTTAATCTGGACTCGTTTACACTGAAACTGGATTTTATTAAACATATTCAAAGTCAGACGTCCTCTGAAGCTCTCACTTGTCCAGGTGCACACTGACCAGGACAGTGGGAGGTTGTATTATTTCCATCCTATGACCCGAAAGATCACCTGGACTGATCACCGAGGCCTCACATTACCTGCCGACATGGACCCGTCCAGTCCGCTGTCCACGGCCTCCTCTCAGGTACCAGAAGCTGTCCTCTCTGACCGACTCTGTGTCCCGCCCTCTGACGTCCCCCTCCCTCCTATCAGGGCTCCTGTGGGTGGGAACATGTTCTGGATGAAGCTTCAGGGAGGCTCTACTTCTACAACACCAGCACAGGAGCCACATCCTGGACTCTCCCAGACCCGCCGGGCCCCCCGTCCCCGTCTGGATCCACAGCCAACAGGAAGGACCAAGACGACGCTGTACGGTCCTCACATAATCTTGGATTTTTGCGTTGAAATCAGCAAAACCAAGATTATAATCCCGGATAACATCTTGTTTAAAATGAGTGAATAAACAGGATTACATCGGTTTCAAGATCAGAAAAATCAGGATTGTAATCCCGTTTTACCTCTATCGGTGAAGCCAGGGTTATAATCCTGAATTGCTTTTAATTTGGGGTTAATTGAATTCTGAATTATAATCCAGGCATACATATGATTTTAAATCAGTGAAGCATGGATTCCTGGATTACATCTGGATTAAGATCTGCACAATCAGGAGTATAATCTGGTTTAACATGTGGTTTAAAATCAGACAATCCAAGATTAAAACTTTCTGTCTTCAATCTCCTGTAACGAGTGTTGTTAGTTTGTCAGATTAAATTAAAATTCTGTCATTTTAAAATCTTTCTTTTTGTGCCTCCTTTATAAATCCCATCATTTTAAAAATGATAGGTTTAATTTTTTTCCAATTGAGGTTTGTGGATTAAATCAGAATCTGTCTGTCCTTCATGTTGTCCTCTGATAATCTGAAGCCGCCTCTCCCAAAGGAGGATTATCCTGTGGATCGGCACAACGATGATAACGACGCCGTCTTCGCTCCGGTACGAAACGATCATGAGTCGGGCCAGTTCATCGTTTTCCACCAGTTTTAACTTCCTGTTTGTGTTCCCAGAATCCTCAGCAGCTGGCGGCTCATAAACCCAAAACTCAGCTGGACCTGAAGGACCCCAACCATCTACAGAAGCAGCAGGAGGTGATCAATCAATCAGTCAATCAATCAATCAATCAATCAATCAATCAGAAACTGGAGAAAACGGCTCTGAAACAACATTCTGCTAATTTCCAATCAGTGATGATTTGTTTGACTATGGGTGTGATGTGAAAAAATATGACCAAAAACTAGTTCAATTATTTCAGTTTTGTTATAAAACTTATAGGAAATTAAAATTTCAGTTTAAATATGAATGAAGGTGGTGGTTGAAGACCACGAGGAGGGAATAGTGTCAGGAGACAGAGAGAGAAGAGGAAAGTCAAGAATGTAGGACCGAGGGTTGCAACTCTAAATGTGGGGACAATGACAGGCAAAGGTAGAGAGCTGGCTGACATGATGCTAAGAAGGAAGGTAGATGTTTTATGTGTCCAAGAGATCAAGTGGAAGGGCAGCAAGGCTCACAGCATTGGAGCAGATTTCAAACTGTTTTACCATGGTGTGGAAAGAAAGACATGGAGTAGGGGTGGTCCCGAAGGAGGAGTTGGCGAAGAATGTAGTAGAGGTGAAAAGAGTGTCAGATAGGGTGATGTGTCTGAAGGTAAAAGTAGAAGGTCTGATGCTAAATGTTGTCAGTGGTTATGCTCCACAGGTTGGACGTGAATTGGAAGTGAAAGATACATTTTGGAAGCATCTGGATGAAGTGATAGAGAGTATTCCCAGGGAGGAGGAATACTACAATTGGACAATTATGTCCAATAAGAGTGGAGGAAGGAGTGCGCAGGTCGACTGCATTCTGTGTAGAAGAGGAAACCTGAGGGAGATTGGAGACTGTAAGGTTGTGGCAGGGTAGAGTGTAGCCAGACAGCATCAGATGGTTGTGTGCAGAATGACTGTTGTTGTGAAGAAGAGAAAAAGAGACGAATCAGAGAAGAAGACCAAATGGTGGAAGATGAAGAAGGAAGAATGTTGTGAGAAATTCAGAGAGGAGCTGTTAAAGACTCTGGGTGGTAAGAAAGAGCTTCCAAATGACTGGACTACTACAGCAACAGTAATTAGAGAGACAAGTAGGAAGGTACTTGGTGTGTCATCTGGACAGATAATGGATGATAAGGAAACCTGGTGGTGGAATAGTGAAGTGCAGGAAGCTATTCAAAAAAAGAGGTTAGCCAAGAAGAAATATGACAGTAAGAGGACTGAAGAGAGGAGACAGGAATATAAAGAGATGGGACGTAGAGCAAAGAGGGAGGTAGCTAAGGCAAAGCAGAAGACATATGATGAGTTGTATGGGAGGCTAGACACTAATGAGGGCGAGAAGGACTTGTACCGATTGACAAGACAGAGGGATCAGGCTGGAAAAGATGTGCAGCAGGTTAGGCTTGTTAAAGATAGGAATGGTAATGTTCTAACAAGTGAGGAGAGTGTGACGGGAAGATGGAAGGAGTACTTTGAGGAGCTAATGAATGAAGAGAATGGAAGAGAAAGAAGAGTAGATGTTATAGAAACTGTGGACCAGGAAGTGGGAAAGATTAGTGAGGGTGAAGTCCAAAAAGCTCTGAAAAGAATGAAGATGGGGAGGCAGTAGAACCTGATGATATACCAGTGGAGGTTTGGAAATGTCTTGGAGAGATGGCAGTGAGGTTTTTGACTCAGATATTCAGCTCAGATATTCAGTGGCATATTTGAGGGTGAGAAAATGCCTGAGGAAATCCACCAGCAGTCACATGCTGAAGTGTTCCTGGGCAAGACACTGAACCCCTCATAGCCTCTGATTTGTTCCCATCGGTGTATGAATGTGATCTAAAGCACTGATTAGTCTCTTTAGAAGGATTTGTTCAATTAGCTTTGTAGAGATCTAGTAGAGTGCTGTGTGATTGGGTAAATGAGGACACAGATTATAGTGTAAAGCGCTTTGAGTATCTTGAAATAAGATAGAAAGGCGCTTTATAAGTACA